AGAGAGAGAGAGAGAGAGAGAGAAATGACTATTAGAGCAGGTGTGTTTTGACATATGACCTGACCTAAAGATCAGCCTTAGGACCTTAGGCATAGTTATGGAAGAGTTTTCAGAGAGATTCAACATGCAGAGAGGATTACTTTTGCTTCTCTTCTCATTATGCTGTAATGCCTAATTCCTAACTGAAAAACTTAAGAGTTACACAAGCAGATTCAGTGTCCTACTTAGGAAGCAGACTTGTTCACATAAGAACATTCAATTTAAAAGCATATGCTTTGCTTATTTCCCATAGGAATTAAGAATGATCTAGGCTGCATAAAGAAGATGATGACAGCCACACAGTAAGTTATGTTCTTAATTAATCTATGGCTTATTTTATTTAGAATAATTGTATAAACTGATAATGAAATAGTAAGAATGTAAAATTCTATCACTTCAAATGACAAACAAAAATTGTTATTGACATAAAATATTCAAGGTAGTTTAGAACATCAATAACAAAATCATTACCAACTTTGAAACTTCTAAGATCCACTTGATGACAATTGACCAATTTGACTTCATGTTTCACTCTGCACCTATTAGATTCAGGGTTTTCCAAGTAAAATCTGGATAATCACTTTAGGTAATTCTTTTGAATCCTCTCTTTAGGAGAAGAGTTTTGGGGGAACCTTAGTTAATATTAAAAACTAAGCCCTATTTCTTCAATCTTTATAGATGCTACATTACATATATTTTATTTTAATTTATCCTTAATAGGATATATTTTACTGAAAATAATAACCCACCTTCAGTGTTTTTGCTATTTCTCATTAAATTTTTTTGTGGTCTCGGGCTAATAGTGTAATAAGAGTTTGATTGCTGGTTAATGAGTGTGTTAGAGATAAATGCATTTTTTTTAAAATCACAAAATACCTAATCATAGATATTTAATATCATTCTATAGAAGGTACTACTACCAAATAATAAGTAAGCAACTAAAACCATCCTTAGAAAGGGAAGAAAAGAGAAGTTGTTCTTTATGAAGTTTGGCTGTTGTTTTTAACTATTACATTTTAATAGGTTCAAAAATAAGCTCCTAGAAGACCTCAGAATCTACAAGCCCCATGCAGACTTGGTTTCAAAAATTCGTATTCTCCTCCTGGGTCCAGTTGGTTCTGGAAAGTCCAGTTTTTTCAATTCAGTGAAGTCTGTTTTCCATGGCCACACAACTCGCCAAGCCCCAGTAGGATCTGATAACACTAGTATTACTGAACAGGTAAGTTATTCCAGAATTCCCTAAGGATTTTGTTTATTGGTTACAATTAATAGACTTATGCATTGTTTGCTGTTTTCTCTTATAACATAAGCTCTCTTCTTAATCTACCAATAGTTACATGCTGAGTCAAATGTGAAATAGGAATAAAAGTTGAATCAGAATTACCTCCTTTGAATAATGTTATCCAGAGAAGTTTTTGGCTTTTTTATGGATGCAAGAAGAAATTATAAGAAAAATACCATTTTTTTTGGTTTTTGTTGTAAGAACAAAATTTTAAAAATATGGAAATATTTGTCTGTTATATTTGATGTCCATTTTTACTTCTGCCCCACATGATTTTACCAGGCTTGAAATGCTTTTCAGTTTTTCTTTTGTATAATAATGAAATACAATACTATAAAATACAATAATTTTTTAGTATGTAAGTCCAGCCTTAAGAAATGGTCATGAAAACAAAATATTCATTTTGGTAAGTCATGTGTCAAGGAGTAAATCTATCTGTGCTCCTAAAAATGATCTTATTTACAAACAAATGTATTTAAGGAAATATGTACTCATCTTTATTATTGCTCTAAAGAGCTATAAATTAGGGTGCGACATTTATCTAGAAACTTCTTTATTATGCTTGTTATGTTGTAAAATCAAACAAAAAGTAATAAAGGGAATGAATAGAAAATTTCATAATTGGGGTATATTTTTCTGCTAACTATAATATTACTGGATGGGAAATATGTTGTGCATTGTCAATGCAGATTTAGCACAGGCAGTAAGAGTTCCATTCAGCTTTTGTGTTTCACCTAATAAATTAAAGCATTTTCTAGGATTTTCATGAAACACATCTTTTTTCTTGATGGTGACTAGATTCTTTTTTGAGCAGATTTATTTTAACATATCAGCCTTGGCTCAGATTCTAAGATAAGATACTTCAATTCATTAAGCATTAATTGAAATGTTTAAAATTAAAATTCAGTTCATTAAGCATTAACTGAAATGTTTCTTTTTTTGTGTGTGTGTATACAGCATTAATTTTTTAAAAATATTTTTTAATTGGTTATTCAAAACATTACAAAGATTGCAGAATCACATTGGTTACACATCCACATTTTTACATAATGCCATAATAGTAACTGTTGCATTAAGCATTAACTGAAATGTTTCTATTTGCTAAATATTGAAATGGCATTAGAGAACTAAATATAAAAGAATATTTGGTCTCTTTGCTCAAGGATTTCAGAATGCAACAGGTAATAAATGTTATTCAATGTGATAGATGCTCTGATAGTGGTTTTATTCAGAACATAATGTTTCTTCTTTCTTTATAAATCAAAACCCTAAAGATATTATTTCAAGAGAAAATTTAGATCCTATACTCTAAATGAAATTGAAATACTATATAAATTGAAGTAATATAGGGTAGAGGTTTTGTGAGGGAAACAGTATTTTATTGCTTGGAAACCCTTCTCTTTGAACAACTGAAGTGGTAAAGGAACCAAATTAATGGTTAAAAAATTATGAAAGTACATATTGGTGTTCCTGAAGTTTTCAATATACTTAATGATTTATGTAATTCTTTTAATGAGTAAGACTCATTCTCCAGGATCATAATCTCAGTGAGATTATTCCTAGGTATTTAATGGGCTAATGGGAGTTTTTGACTTCAAGGTGGACTACAATCTGCCAAAGACAGGTTCTGTACTTTCTGGTTTGGAAGTAATATTGTACCAGTGCTGTCTCCACTAATGGAAAAATTGTGATTAAGTGTCTGGAGTCTCTAAAAATTTTTTTTAGTTCTTCTCAAATCCTTCATATCTGTTCCTATGTTAGAAGTGTATCTATCCAAAAAAAATAAAATTAATTAAAAATTTTTCAGAGGTCTTCTGGAAAACATTCTTGTGAACACATTGAGTTTACCTAGGAAGAAAATTTGGTTAAAGTTGTTCTTCTTAAAGTAAATTTTTGAATGCGGGGTTGTCCCTGAGATACTCTAAGGATATCTGTGAGTTCAGAACTATTTTGAGAATAATTTTAAGATGATTTTTACTTTTTATAGTGTACCAACACTTGAACTGGTTATATAAACATAGTTTTACTTGCTGATACCTTAGTACAAATCAAGCTGTGGCCTCCAACAATGTAATTTCCCCACTACTGTGCTGATAGGAAAAAAGAAATCCCCCAAATATCAGTTTTACTTAATAATATTCTTGAAGAATCACTAACAATGATTAATTTTATAATTGTTTCTTAAATTTTGAACATACATCATGGTAATACTCTGTGATGCAATGTGAAGGGCATATAAGGTGCTTCTAAAGCATAATGAGATACAGAGGCTTTCTTTAGGAACAGAACTGTAGAAATGTAGTTTTGAACTAAACTTTTTTTCATATGACATCAAGTTTAGAAGGTAAGACTGATCATCCACCTGCATATTCATACTTGGATATTTGACACATTTTAAAAAATATACAAAGTGAGACTATCACTCTAAGGGAAATAATAAGACAGTCTTTGCTGCCAATAATAAAATTTAAGCTTTTAAGAAAATTAGAAATATAAAATATATAATAATAATAATATAAAATATATAATAATTTTTATATTATATATTAATATATAATATAAAAAATTATATCTACCACTCTGACCTTGACAGATTCCCAACACCAAGAGAGAGATAAGATGGGATTAGTGGTGGTCTATATAAATGCATTGTTTCAATATTGTATGAGGTAAGTTGTCAATACTTAGAACATCAGGATAATGCAGAGAATAAATGTTCACAAATGATCAAAGTATCAAGTTAAAATCATTTCTGAGGCTGGGGCTACAGCTCAGTGGTAGAGTGCTTGCCTTACTCATGTAAGACACTGGGTTTGATCCTCAGCACCAAATTAAAAAAAAAACAAATAAAATAAAGGCATTCTGTCCATCTACAACTACAAAAAAAATTAAAAATCATTCCTGGGCACAAGGTATATTCAAAATTTAAGATTGACCAGTAGATTTAATGTGACCAAGGATGAGATTATCACAGATTCTGCATTACAACAAATATTTAAGAAGTTGTCACTTGTGGAACTTTGATATATTATTAAAGAAAGATATCCATGATTATCTGAAAGCTATTGAATTAATCCTTCCTTTTCCTATTATATATGTATGTGAGGCTAGATTTTCTTACATACAGACATGTGTCACCTAATGATAGGAACATTAGGTGAAAAATGTATCCTTAGGTGATTTTGTCATTGTTTAAACAGCATAGAGTGTACTTATATAAACCTAGATTGTATAGTCTACTAATCAACAAAAATATGTGTGATTGCCTATGGCTCCTAGGCTATAAATCTGTACCGCATGCTACTGTACTGAATGCTGTAGGCAATCATAACACAATAAACATAGAAACTATTTAGTAAAACTATAGCATATTGATAAAAAAAAATTGTGTTACTTACAGCGCATTTATCAGGAGTGGTGCATTTATTAGGGTTAGAAGTTACTGTGGGTGAGTCAGTGAGCGAGCAGTGAGTGAATGTGAAGGCTTAGGATACCACTATACACCACTGTAGACTTTATAAACTGTACATTTAGGCTACACTAAATTTATAAAACAGTTTTGGGGGGCTAGGGGTGTAGTTCAGTGGTAGAATGCTTGGCTAGCATGCATGTGGGCCTGGGTTCAATCTCTTGCACCATACACAATTTTTTTCTTCTATAATAAATTTACCTTAGTATTTTAATCAGTTTTATTTTCTGCTTTGACTAAAAGATCTGACCAGAACAATTGTAGAGGAGGAAAGGTTTATTTGAGGGCTCATGGTCTCAGAGGTCTTAGTCCATAGAAGGCTGGCTGCATTCCTTAGGGCTTGACGTGAAGAAGGACATTACGGCAGTAGAGTGTGTCAGAGGGAAGCAGCTCACATGTCAATCAGAAAGCAAAGGGAGAGGTCTCCAGTTGCCAGATACAAACATACACCCCAAAGCCACACCCCAATTCCCACCTCCTCCAGCCACACCCTACCTCTTCAATTACCATTCAGTTAATCCCTATCAGGGGATTAATTCACTGATTGGATTAAGACCCTCACAACCCAGTCATTTCTCCTCTGAACCTTCTTGCATTGTCTCACATGTGACTTTTTGGGGGACACCTCACAAAACAGTTTACTATAACATTTTTAATCTATGAGCTTAAATTTTTTAACTTTTGACACTTTTGTAATAATATTCAGTTTAAACACGAACACAGCATATATCAAAATATTATCTTAATATCCTTTCTCCACCATTTTTTAAAATTAATTTTTTATTATTTAACTTTTGTTAAAAACAAACATACACATTAGCTTAGGCCTTCACAGGTCAGAATAATCTGATGTTTTGTTTTTCACCTACACATCTTGTACTAGTGGAAGATCTTCAGGGGCAGTAACCTGCATTAAGCTTTATCTCCTTATGATAATAAGGTTTTCTTCTGAATTGTTTCCTGAAGGACCTGCTTGAGGCTGTTTAAAATTAACATTTTTGTAATAAGTGGAAGAGATACATTCTAAAATAATGACAAAAATAGTATAGTAAATACATAAACTAGTAGCATAGGCACTTATTGAGTATTAAATATCGCATACTGTATATGATTTTATCGCTATATTTTTAAGTAACAACAATACAGTTGTTTTTTTAACATCAAGATCACCACAAATGCATTGAGCTATGATGTCAGAAGGCAAAGGTTTTTTCTTAGCTCCCTTATAACTAAAATTATACTCAAATTATACAAAGGTTGTATACAATCTCTCATTGACTAAAATATCATCATATGATGCCTGATGAGACTTCAGCTAATACAATTGGACACAACAGATTGAATAAGAAACAGATATGAAAATCCAAATATTGTCTATTAATTTAGACACTAAATTGATTGGGAAAACTAAGTCAATGCCATTCTGTTCTAAAATTGCTTTTGGAAAATACACTGATTTTTTTCCAAG